CGGAGCTCACGGAGCTGAGCCGGTGGGGTGGAGGAGCCCGGCCCGGAGCTCTCCGGCTGCGTTACTGGGCGGGGACTGGGGTTGTTTTTCGATCAAAATTAGCGTTAAACGGGATCTGAACGTTTGTCACGGCCGCAGCCCGATCTGGTGCGGGGCTGGCCCTGCCTGAGCCCGTGAGGAGCAGCGAGGGGAGGAACAGCGCAGCTCTGAGGGAAATCGGGGCTGGGTGTGCCGGGGTCCCGTCCCTCACACCCCGCGGTTTCTTGTGGGGGGGGGGAGATCATCCCTGATATTTATTTAATCCTTTGTTTCACACATTTCAGCCAAAGCCCGCGGGGTTCCCGGAGCGATCCCGGCCGGATCCAGTGGATCTCAGCTAACATGGCCTCCCCGGCGGGGAGCTCCGAGACTCAAAAACAAAAGCGTTCGGTTGTTGCCAGGGCCCGGGGGAACTTCTCGGGCGGTAACAAACGCGACCGACCCCGGGCTCACAGGGAGTGATGCCCCTCCGGGGCTGGCCAAGCACCTGCTGCGTTGTTTACCCCGTGCAAAGTCAAACCCCAGCTCTTTAAAAACTAAAAATGGCTTTTTTTGGGGGAGGGATTGAGCTGGCGCAGCCTCCCCACGGCTCCTCAGTGGAGCTCCAGTTGCCAGCCCTGTTGTTGCCTCGATAACACCAGCTCATCCCCTGGTATTTGTGGGGCTGGGTTTACGTTTAAAACAGGGAGATTTGGGAGCCTTCTGCTCTAAGTGTGGATTGTGCTGTCAGACGTGGGTCAGCCAGTTAAAACCAGATTATTTTACATTTAGGCACTTGGTGGGTGGGGTGTTGTATTTTTCTCTCTTTTTTTTCTTTTTTTTTTAATTGTATTTGTTGTTGTGACTCTGCAGATGTTGCTTTAGCAGGTCCTGAATTCTAAAGCATAATATGGAAAAGTGATGGCTGCCCCAGCCCTGGAAGTGTCCAGGGCCACGTTTGGCAGGGCTTGGAGCAACCTGGGACACTGGAAGGTGTCCCTGCCCCTGGCAGTGGGGTGGAACGGATCTCTAAGGTTCCTCCAACCCCATCCATTCTATAATTCCATAATATTTTACATCCCAACTGCATTTCCGGGGCTGGGATGTTTATTGTGTGTGTCTTCAAAAGCTGAAAATGCCATTTCAAGCTGATTTTGTCCAACTCATGAGGGTCACACTTGGTTTGAGCTGTGAGCTTTGCATCTGCCCAGGTGTCAGAGGGTTTGTGGGGAGCAGAAGGGGAACAATCCCAAGGGTCTGGAGCTGCCAGGTTTTTTGTGACCAGCTGCAGATTGTGCTGTTGTTTCACCAAAATGCCACTTGTGTCACCCAGAGTCACCAGTGTCCTGAGAAGGTGGGGACAGTGAGGGGAGTTGGGGCAGGTGAGGTGCCCAAGCTGTGCCCTGGGTGTAACCCTGGCACAGAAGGAGCACCAGGAGCGACTCCAAGGGGCTGCTGTGTCCCAGGGCAGGATTTGGGGCTCACCTCACCCCAACAGCCACTTCCTTCTTGGATTTGTGGTGTTTCCAGGGATCTGCATTGCTTCTGTCCAAGGGGAAAGGCCATTCCTGCACATGGGATGGAGCAGTCTCCATTTTTGTGTTGGTGCTGACAGAATTTCAGCCCTGACAGAATTTCAGCCCTGACAGAATTTCAGCCCGTTCTTCTGAAAACAAAACCCTTGGCAGGGGAGGAGCTGGGGGACCCTTTGCCTGAGTGTCTCTTGATTCCTGCCTGTCCAGACAATCATGGAATGGTTTGGGTGGGAAGAGATCCTAAAGCCCATCTCATTCCACCCCTTGCCATGGCAGCTGCTCCAAGCCTGCTCCAGCCTGGCCTTGGACACTTCCAGGGATCCAGGACCAGCCACAGCTGCTCTGGGCACCTCTGCCAGCATCTCCCCACCATGGCAAGGTTGGCACTGGATGGTCTGGAAGGTCACATCCAACCCAAACCATTCCATGATTGCAGCCTCGGGTTCCAAGCTGAGCTGTGCCAGGCTGATCCCTGCTGCTGTGGCTCTGTGCTCACACAGGTGAGCTCCAGTCAGGAGTTTGTGGGAAACCTTGGGATGAGGAGCTCTCTGTCCATTACTGAGCCACTCAGAGGTTCCAAAGGTCCCCAAATGTCCTTGCTCTGTGTCTGCAGGAACTGCACTGAGCCCTTGGGATCAGGATAAAACACCATGGAATAAAGCAGGAGAACTTGATGGGGGTAGAGGAGGTTGGAGAGTTGATCATTATGGTCCCTTTAGTTGGTTTGTTTGCTTTGGGTTTTTCTAAGTTGTATTTTTAAAAATCATTTGCAGAGAAAATATTTTTTTCGAAGGACTTGAACCTGACAGGGTGTGGGGTGAGTGGATGAAGGCAAAACCTGACTGAGAATATCCCCTTGGATGGAGGTTTTCCCACAAAGCAGGTGCCGGGAGCTGCATTTCACAGAGCTGGGACCATCGGGGACCCCGTGAGGAAACGCCTCTTGTGGGAATCGCGGACAGAAAATCGCTCTGCAGGGGAATAAACAGCGGGAAAGCATCGGGCCGGAGGAGCAGGGGGGCTCGGTCCCATCGCAGCCCGCAGGATCCCGCAGATCCCCCCTCCCCGGCGCTGCGGTGATGTCATGGCAGAGGGAAGGAGCTCCCGGGCTCTTGAGCAAGTGGCCCTGGCTCGTTTCCTTTCCCCCGCCGTGCCCCGGAGCTGCATGGGGGCTGGGGGGACACAAAATCGGTGTAGTTCCCCCATCCCCCGGTTTTACACCGCGCTATCTGCTCTGGGGACATCGCTGTGCTCTCCCCCTGAACAAGGCTGGTTTTCCCCCATGGAGCTGCGGGGGTTTGGCCAGGCTGGGGTTAAAGCTGGTGGGACCGTTCCAGCCCCGAGCCGGTCACACCGGACCTGCCCGGCAGTGCTGGGACAGCCCCGTCCCCATCGGGTTTTATGGAAATGCCCAATTCCCCCATTCCCGGGCAGCTGCCCGGGCCTATCCCGGCTCTTTCTGTCCCTTGGCGCTCTGGGACAGCCCCGTCCCCATCGGGTTTTATGGAAATGCCCAATTCCCCCATTTCCAGGCCCATCCCGGCTCCTGCTGCCCCCGGAGCGCTGGGACAGCCCCGTCCCCTCCTCTCCCCTCGTGTTTTATGGAAATGTCCAATTCCCCCATTCCCAGGCCCGTCGCGGTTCCTGCTGTCCCCAGAGAACTGGGATAGCCCGGTCCCCTGTCCTTCCCCTCCCCTCGGGTTTTATGGATGTGCCCAATTCCCCCATTTCCAGGCCCATCCCGGTTCCTGCTGCCCCCGGAGCGCTGGGACAGCCCCAGTCCCCTCAGGTTTTATGGAAATGTCCAATTCCCCAATTCCCCCACTGCAGGGCAGCTGCCCGGGCCCATCCCGGCTCTTGCTGTCCCCCGAGCCCTGGGACACCACCGTCCCCTCTTCTCCCCTAAATGCCCAATTCCCCCATTCCTGGGCCCATCCCACTCCTGCTGTCCCCGGAGCTCTGGGACACCCCCGTCCCCTCTTCTCCCCTCGGGTTTTATGGAAATGCCCAATTCCCCCATTACTGGGCCCATCCCGGTTCCCGCTGTCCCCTCCTCTTCCCTCAGGCTCTGTGTAAATCCCCGGTTCCCCCATTTCCAGGCCCATCCCGGCTCCTGCCTCACCAGGTCCAACTTTCATCACCTCCCAGCCCCTCCTCCCCTGCTTCACCCCTTCAGGGACCTGTCCACCCCCCCAGAAAAGCTCCAGGCTCAGAGCTTCTCCCTCCTCCTCCTCCCCCTCTCTCTCTCAGGTGCAGCAGGAGGGAGGTTGAGCCATCGCCTTTCCCTCGTCAGCCATTTCAGAGGCCAAGTGCTGACTACCAAAACTTTTCCTTGGGCTGCTCCAAAACTTTAAGGTTTTTCCTATCACTTGTAGCTTGAAGTAATTTTTTTTTTTTAATTTATTTTGGGGCAGTTTTTGCCCAGATTTCAGTTAATGACCTGGATTCCTGCACAGCTGCTGGGAAACAGAGTCAAGTTTAAGTGAGCCTTAGGCAAACAGAGAGACTTGAGGCTACTCCTACTCTGTGTCCATCACAAACCATTTCACCCCCCCTTCCAGGTACTTTTAACTATTTCAGCTCATTAAGCAAAATTAAAATTGAAAATAAATAGGGGAAAATAATAACAAAAAGGGTTAAGCGGGGAATTACAACTAAGTTTAATCAAACAGTTATAACACCGTGAAAATAATCCAGGATGTATTCCCTGGTGGAATGCCATCCTGATTATTTTCGAGAAATCACACCAAAACTATTACAGTTACAAGTAATTAAATTTATTAGACCTCTGTATTTTTTTATAGTCAGTTTTGGCCAATTTATAGCTTTCCTGGGGAATTTTTCTTCTCTTTTTTTGGTTTAGACACAAAAAAAAAAAAAACCAACAAAAAAACCCCCTAAACCAGATATCACCAATACATCAACCCCCCCCTCACCCCATCACAGCCACCTAAAAAAGGGGGAGCCCTCGGCCCACCCAGCTGCAGTTTAGCCCGTAAAAAGGGTCCGCGGCGACTCTGTACAAGGACCGAATGTTCCACCCAGCACTGTAAAAACCCCCCCGCGCCCCCCTGGCCCAGTGTCACTCCCCCGGCTTGCAGGGGCCCTTTTCCTGCCGGGGCAGCAGCTCCTGCTCCCGCAGCAGCCGCAGGTTCTCGGCTCGCAGCCTGTCCACCTCCCGCTCCAGCGCTTGCACCCGCGCCGGGTCCGCCGCTTCCCCGCCGGCTTTTTTGCTCTCCATCCTCAGCCGGTTGTTCTCCTCCTCCATGCGCGACAGGCACTTCTCCAGCTCCAGGTACTCCTTCACCAGCTCCTGCTTGCTCATGTTCTGCAGACTCTCCACATGGTACCGCTCGTAGGTCTCCGAGAAGTCCCTCTGCAGAAACTCGCTGCCGTCCCCCCCCATCCCGTCGCTGCCCCCGTCCTCGTCGGCCGCGTCGTCCAGGAAATCCTCCTCGCTCGTGTCGTCCGACTTGGCGGCCGCTCGCCGCGGGTACAGCCCGGTTTTCAGGTCGGGCTCCTCCTGGTCATGGTCCTCCATGAGGAACTGCGTGGTGTTGTAGGGAGCCACCGGCTGCCCCTTGGCGAACATCTCCGCTCGCAGCCGGGAGGCGCGGAGGCTCTGCCGCTCGTCGAACTGCTGCTTCTCCTCCCAGCTCAGCTTCGAGTACGGCTTCCAGCGCCGCTTCTTCTTCGACGGCCGCCGACGGTGCTTCTTCTTCACCGGCCACTCCTCGGT